GAATTCACATTAGATAATACATACATAATCTGATGTGAACGAATCATAAAAAAAAAGAACAAGAAAAACGCATACAACACGCCTACGCGCTCGTAAATTCTATTTCGACGATGACAGAGTAACAGATCACGAGGAGAATCTTTTTAAACGGAAGAGATCCTAAACGTTCGCATGTTTACTAAAGATATGAAGTGTATATATATATTATCTTTCTCTTATCTATTTAAAAAACACTTCAAAGAGATGGATGTCGCTTTAAAACAAAGCTTATTTTCAAATAAAATTTATATAGTCGATAGATATATAAAGTGTCCCTGTTTTTTTTTTTTACGCCCAAATATTACTAATACATTATACAAACAAAAAGAAGATTAAAATGTCATGTAGACATAATTGATTCTTAAATAGTTTATTTAAAAGTTTTTCATAAAAATATGAAATGTTAATTAGCCAGTGTTATTAGAATAAGAATACGTATGAAACAAGAACCTATATACCGCAAATCATATTAAATAATACATACACACTCAATAACAATACTAGATTGTAAAAAATGTAAAAACCTTACGCTTAAGATTAACATGAACAAAGTATTAAAAAAAAAAAAATTATGTAGTTGATTCATATTAAACTGGTTGAAATCATTTATAATTCCATTTTAAAATGCTACTCGTTGTTATTAATGCAGAATTGACATTTATGGAAAATAGAATTCTATTGCATTACTAATTTCATATTCATTTTCCTTCATTTCTTTAAATACATTGCAAATTTGTTGTCTTAACTCTTAACGAAACACCGGTTCTTAATCATTACGTATTTTTCATTAGAACTTTAGAATAAAGCATGTTTTAAATGCTTATGTGCGTATAACATTTTTGTTTTATTTTAACTTGTAAAATATGAGGGTAACATTTGACGGAAAAAAAGGAAAACTAGAACACCCTATATATCGTATATCCATGGAAATATGTTTGCTCTCCCTTTCTTTACTTTCTGTTCTATTTTATAGACATTTATGTCTAGTTTGATTGACGTACCAATAAAAATATACATTCTAATTCACTTTTTTAATTCCTCGTTTAGCATTTTTTTATGCATAAGAAAACCCCAATAGAATTCTATTCTATTCTATTTGAGTATAAAAGTAATGCAAATACTGATATTATTTATTGGCTACCACAATCGTTTAAACCAGGAGTAAAATATATATATACGTGTATACTGGTATATCGGTGGTGCATAGTCATCGAGTCATTAGTATTTTCAATGCGAAACGCATTTAACGTTCCTCGAAAGGCAGATCTGGTCTGCACATCTGTGCACGTACGTACGAATAATCCCCTCTTACCCTTCTCTTTTTCTCTCCACCTCCTCCTCTTCCTCCTCTACTTCTTCTTTTATTATTTCTTCTTCTTCTTCTTCTTCTTCTTCTTCTTCTTCTTCTCTTTCTTTTTCTTCTTTCTCACCCCCTTTTTGTTTATTTCTTTCCTCGATAAACTATATACGCGATCATGTTATATTCAACGCATTTACAATCTTTCTAAATAATATCAATCGAAATTAAAAATATTAAACAACGATTATAAACGAAAGGCAAGTATCAAGTAAAAATGACAATAAAATCATGAAAACCATTTCTACGAGTTAGGACTCACCTTTAACCCGAACAACGAGTCCATTCGGATAACAAATATCACTAGGCGAGATACGAGAAACAATGAGAACAATAAAACTTATATACGGAAATTTACGTGTCAAAAGATCGACATTCAACAATAGGAAGAAACTGTGAACTATCTGAAGAAAACGTATGTCTTTTAACCCTTCCCGTACAAATCCCTTCTTTTTTTTTCATATTTTCATATCACCTAGTATCGCTGCGATAATCCCATTCGTATGATAACAGCGATAAATTATCGATCTTACGTTACGAGAACAGAATATAATATAGCAAAAATATAAGAAGAAAAAAGAAAGAAATATAGGTAACAGACCAAAGTGAGGAACGGAAAGGGGGGGCGGAGAATTGACTAACATACACTCTAGTATAAAACATATTTCAAGGCGATTACGTTCATCCAATGTCGATGACGTAGCCGAGTATTTCCATCAGCATCAAAATTCAAAAGTGAACAACTACTCTAATCATGAGAGCCACTGAACGTCATTTATTTACGTATATTCGTCAGAAGAGAAAGAGGAACGATATGTAAATTTGATGATCGAAGTTTTAAACGAAAAAACATCTTAAGGTGTTAATCGAATACGCCGCGAATATATACATATATATTTATTTGTTAATTTGAACTCGACTAAAAATCTACTAATAATCATCAGTGGCGAATCAAATAAAGTTGAGGCCCTGAGCAATCAAAATTTTGCTACTCCCAAATTTGAATTAGAAAAAAGAATTTTTAACAAATTTTTATTAAGTTATTAACAAAAAAGAAAGATAATAAAAAATTTCATACCGTAAAATATTAATTCAATGTATTTTGAAAAAATATCATTTTCCATCAAACTCTAATGAAACAAAACTTTAATACCACGGGAACCATCATTCGGGGCCTTTTGATATTCCGAGGCCTTACGTAACCGCTTAATTCATTACTGCTAATGATGTTGTGGTAGGCGTGAAATTTTGGACTTTCAAATATCATACTTATTAATACATAGGTACATGTGCGTACGTTTCATATTAAGAAATATAATAATACAATAATATAAAAACATTTTTTTTTGTTTAATAACTGAAATTATTTTTCGACCAGTTGATAATATTAACTGTAATCGTAAGATTGTTCATAAAAATATTTTCTATCTCCTAGAAAATGGCGTATGTCTTAAAGGAACACGTGACACATAAAATAGAGAATGCTATTTACTATATAGTATTTTCCATCGAAGGTAATACGGAAAATCCAATTATGGTTATTGTGCTTGAAATCCATTTTGCTAAAACATCGTCGCTTTTGCCGAAGAGTTAGTTTCGCAATAAAGAATAAGAAAGAATCGTAGAACTCTTGAAAACAAGATTTTTCTTTATAATTAAAAATTCTTTGAACTAAATAACCAAATTTTCGGCTGGTTAAGTTAACGAATCTCTGAGGTAGATAAAAACAAATAGGATTTAATCGGTCGGAAGTTCTTCTACTCGTTGGACAAGATAATTGCCAATTACCAGATATATATAGTATATATAGACAATATCATTTATATAAACGGATGTTAATAAACTCCTCTTTTAATTGGATAGCAGGAACATTCATCTTCTTTTTCAGTTACTCAAATTAATTCATTCTAAAATCGTTGACTTATTCGAATTAAGAATCTATGAATACATTGACAATACAATAAAATCAATTCTAATACAATAGATAATGATGATAATAATAATAATAATATTAATAATAATAATAATAATAATATGAGTTTCTAAATTGCTCTAAATTTTCTAACTGAAAAATTAGCATAGTTTTACTCATCTTTAGTTAGAAAACAAATAACTCGAGTTTCGCAATTACAGAAGTTATGCAATCAGCTAACTATGCACCAATACTTCTAATACCTTTTATGTATTGCTTTCTCGTTAAAGCATACTCAAGTTATTTCAATAACGTATGAATACATTACTAATCGGTTTACCCTACATTCTTATCAATTTGAACATTATTACAATGGTTAGAAAATTGTAAATATAGATTTTTCTATAATTTTCAAAATATTTAAGATTTATATCGGAGTTAACTATTACTATGTCGCTTTCTTTGATCCGTTTTAAAAGCAAACGTTTACGTTCGTTCTCCTCTTACCTCTCTCATCACTAGACGGATTAATAATCGTCAGCCTCCGTCGACGATGACGACAATTACATACAACGAAGACGACGACGACGACTATGTTATTTTACTGGCGCGAATCTAGACTATCAAGAACGTAAAATCTTTAATGATAAATGCAAGAAATATAAATATTAGTCGTAGTTAGAAAACCACGTGTATAAGAGAAAGATACAAGTTAGTAAGTATATACATACGTGCATTGATCTAATCATCATCATCGTCATTGTCATCGTCATCATCGACAAATACGGACAATCATTGAATGCGAGTAACGATCGATCAGAATATTTTCTCTGTCTAACTTGAGAATGTTAATTAAGTAAAATAAGTGAAAATAATGATTTTTCCAGAAATGTATTCTTTTAGAAAGGTTCTAATCGATTAATGCATTTATGTATCATTTATAGTTTATCTGTCTCGATAATATCAGTGCAACCCACGTTTCGGCCCACTTCTCTTATTATGCTGTTAATATTCATTATCATTCGGCCTGCGATCTCATTCCAAAGAATTACACCCATTGGAATATGGTTTTTGATCATTCCAAGCAAATGATTTGAACGAATAATCGAATTGCATTGATCTTTCTGACATAAGTAAAATTATTTTTGCTTATAAATCATTTTACGTTAGGTTAGAATAAACTATTATCTTTTAATATTTATATGTTTTATGCAAATCATATTTTTTATTTAAAATTAATCCTTACTATACTCCTATATCACGAATTTTAATGTCGAGACTCGGCATTATAATATGCAATTTTTAAAATAATTATAAACGTTTAAATCAGAAATGAATGAATTGTAAAAGATTTAACAAAATATCTTTCATTTGTTTATAAAATAAATATTTCAATAAAAATAAAAGAAAAAACAGTTACAATTTGTTTATCCGTTTTACATGATTCTATCTGAAGCGAATAAACAAAAAATCCAATTGAAAACTTAATGTGACGAGTTTAAGCACGACATTATAAAACGTAATTTCTCAAATAATAATAAACATTTAAATTTGAAATAAAAAATAAATTGCAAAAAGGTATAACAATATCTCTCATTTGTTTATAAAAAAAAAAAATATTTTAATAGAAAAAAAAGCAAGTCATAATCTCGTTCTATCCATATAAACAAAAAAATCGAATTAAAAACAAACCTGTCAATCCTCTTCGTCATCGTTGCCATTCGTTTTTCTCATCTTGAAAGGATACAACTTAATCCTTGGGGATCCCCGTAAATGGAATCCTCCTAAAATCCGATTAGAAGAAAAAAAAAATAAAAATGATTTAACGTATAACTCGCGAAATATTGGAAGAATAAATGGAAGGTGACACACGAGGAAGAACTGCGACGGTCCTCGTGCAGTTTCAAAGAGGTAACTGTGAGAGAGAGAGATTCCGAGGAACGAGCAACCGTTCTGGTTCACGACTGGTTCTTCTCCTTCTCCTTCGGCCTCTGGCCCCTTCTTCTCCATATCATGTCGCGAGTACCACGGAAAAAGAGTCGGAGAGAGACGAACGTAGAAGAACGGACTACGAAAGAATGAGAATGTATGTGAAAGAGAGAGAGAGAGAGAAATTGAGATACAAGATACCGGTAAGCTTTAGCTTAAGGAAGGATGCAGAAGTTTGAACCACGACAGGTTGCTTCTCTCGTAATAACGCCATAAAGAAGAAAAGGGATGGAGGTGGTTCGACTAGATGAAGGTTATGCTTAACCCCTCCCCCGCATACTACAAAGGGAAAGAAGTCGATCAGGTAGGGTCAGGGACGGACCTTACGTTTCCAAGAATCTTATATCGTGATTTACAATTCTCTATTCTTTGATCTATACAATTTTTGATGTTAAATTATTTGAAAATATTATTTTACATATATACTATGCGATGTATATATTTGAAAATGATTATTGTTATAACGATATTTATATACAAATATATGCAGATAATTTAAATTTCACATAACTGTGTTATGTGAAACAGCTGGTACTTTGTTTATCTCCGTTTCTTGATTTTCCTTTTTTTTCTTTTTTTTCTATTACCAGAATAGGAAGAACATTCCAAAGAAGGAAACTGGCTTTTATGTTGGTTGTTAAGCTATTTCCTTCGCGAAACTCAAGCCCTGAATAAGGTTACTTTCTAAGGTATCAACGAAACCTACCAGCTGGCCCGAAACCGAGTCTCTTTCTTCGTGTTCATGGGATCAGGTAGAAAGAGATTTATTTATTATAGAAGTGTGTGGGAACTTCTTCTTAGCTATAAAATCTACCCGAAGAAGTATCAAATTTTTTTCATCGACAAAGAATCACCGATTCTTTCTCATTCGAATTTTTCGTTCTTCTTAAGGGATAGAAATTTGAAAGAAAAAATATACAATCGATTGTAGCCGAGGTCCAATTCAAATTCACAATAAAATGATGGTTAATGGGGGTTTCTTGGGAGAAAAAAAGAAAACAAAATCGAACTATATCCAATATGGTCCAGCTGTTAAATGTGTATGGGTGTCTGCAACGTAGTCAACAAATAGATTTGCTCTTGCATCTCGTGTTACTCGCTCTTGGCGTTACCTCTTCTTACCACGTATTTAAAGATCTCGGGTCAAGTACCTGGCACTGACAAGACGAACGACTGAACTTTATGTTTTAAATTACAAATAAAAATAATAATCCCTTTTAATTGCTATTATATGTTAATTTAAACGCTTAATTTATTTGTCTCATTGCTAACAAATCTTCAGGTTTCTTCTTTTTTTGTTATAATATTAGTTCAATTAATTTGAACATTAATTGTAAATTAAGAAAATAAATAATGGTATACAATAATGTAATTTTTACATTAATCTGAATCAACATAAATTGCAAAAAAGAAATATTGCAATAATTCTTTAATCTAATCTGAAATATATTAAAAAAGATCTATAACTTTTCTACTACTTGTGGGGAAATACAAAAGAAATAAACAATCGTATACTTACATATACGTCAAACGGTCGTTGTGCAAAATGGTCTTTTTTGTCGAGGTCGATCTCGTGTCGATGGTCGACCGGTCGAAGAAAAATTCTTTCGAGATATCCGTGGGTGGACCAGTTCTCTCCGTCCCCGAAGATCCGTGCACGTCGACCAACTGTCTTGCTCGTCCTTTCACAGGACATTCTTGTCAAATTGCATTTTATTATTCATTTTCTAAATCTCCCTTTTGCCAACATAATTAATCTTCCAAATAATTCTCCATTAATCGTATACACAATTACAAACATACACGCATAAACCCAAGCAACAGATATATATAGTCAGACATATAGATATAGATATACACATAATAAACTTATCTAATAAAATTTTCTACATAAAAGATATATGAAAAATAATAAAGAAAGAAATTTAGATTAAATATCTCACGTATATTATCGATTTTATTAATACGAATTGTACATATAGACAGGAGTATTCTTATTGTTTAAATAACTTTTGAAAAAATCCATATCTTTCGATTTTTCAAGACTATCATCTATTTATCATACTTCCCCATATAATATATACATATGAACATCTAGCAAACAAACCTTACCCTCAAACAACAAAATTCAATATTTTATTTATTTTTCTGACTAAAAAATAATGAATTTTAAAGATAAATATCTGCTTATACGTATAAGTAGATATATTATCTATGACTATGTAGGATTATTTAATATAATTAAACATATTATAATTTGTATGTATTATAGTTTACACGAACACCATATACCTGAGAAAAAGACGATCACGATCTAGTAGACAACAAAGTGTCTACTGTATTACATATATGTAACTTCATTCATAAAATAAAACTGCATACTTGCATATAGATATATATTATATATATTATAGATATTACAAAAAATAATAATACAAAAATAAAGAGAAAAATAATCGAAAATAAAAATGAAAGAAATTCGATAAAAGAAATCTAATTTTGTGAGCTAATACAATTTATTGATTAGAAAATTCGATTAAATTATTCGAGATTAAAGAATTTCCTTTCAATTTAGATTCATTATTTGTATATTTTTTACACAATGACAAAAGGATTTCAAAATTTTCTTAAAGAATATTATAATATTTTCTTTAGATGAGCCAACTGTTGACAAACATATCCGGTTACTTTTCAAAGACGACACACACGCGGTACACGACTCTACTTTAATATACTTTCTAATTTTACTTTTCCTCTTCTGCATTCCTCTCTTCTCCTCTTTACCCCGAAAGAAAAGCAGCTTGAGAAGCGTAATTGGTTTTTAAATAACTTATCTCCAAATGTCCTGTCTCTTTTATCTTCGTATTGTCGAAAAGAAACTGAAGAAACTCAAAATTACTAGTCTTACAACAAACACTTTAACCCCCTCCCACCCCTCAACGTCCCATTAAAATTTGTTCATTTTATCTGACATCAACGAAGAAGAATTGATATATAAAATTATCCAATTGTAAAAACAAGTTGCTACATGATTTCTAATATTCGTTTCGAGTTGCAATGAATTTTGTTTAAACAATTATACAAATGAAGCTAATAAACTTCGATAAGAACATGAACAAGGATCGAGATTAATTTTTTTGTTCTTTTATCTGCTAAAAAATGTATAATCGATTTATAAATATCTACATTAAGCAACAAACAGGATTAAAAATGTTCAATACTCGCAATAAATGATATGTTGATGATAAACTATAATAAATGTATATTCGAGGAGGAGATATTTGTACCAACATTTTTATATTCCTAGATATTTTCATTATATTTTACGAGTAACATTGCAAAATTTATAATTCATCTGGTAATGGTTTAAAAAGAAGCAATTTATTAAATAAAACGATAAAAATAGCATAATCACCGAAATGATGATAGCGTTAAATTAAAAACAAAAAAACAAAAGATAAAAAAAAGTAAAAAAAGGTACAAAAAGATACATATAATTTATAAATAAATACAAAACATTATATATATATATATATACATAAATATATAATACATATACATATATATGAATTGTATATAATATATATATATATTGGATTGTTTTTAAATTAAATGCCACAAAGCGTTTTTGTTCTCTTCCGCGACAAATATTATTAAATTATTATTATTAAACAAATAAAAATAAACTCTATATAGTATGTATGTGTGGACTCACACGCGAGTCTCTGGATTCTCGTATATCAAATCAAAAAGAACATTAGGAAATTAGGTAAATCATTTCACGCAAATCTAATGTTTTCAGAAAAAAACTCTTTTCTTTTCTAATGTAAGATTTATGAATTATTCAGTCTTATGGGGTCGATGAAGAGTTTTTTATGATTTAATCTTACATGTATTATTTATATTGGGAACGTCTTCTTATTAAAATACTAATGACTTTTCACCGCACGAACAGCGAAGACAAAAATTAAAAGAATATTATTAATAATAATAATAATAATAATAATAATAATAATAATAATAATAATAATAATAATAAAAATAATAAAGAGATAGAGAGAGAGAAAGAAACGCTTTTAATCGGACCTTGGAATTAATATCACTGGTCGAAATAAAAGCGTCTCTATATATATATATATATATACATATATGTACAAATATACATGCATATATATTTTGTTATTTTTGTTAATTATTTATAATTTGTTGTTAATTATATTATTTATCTAATTACTCTTAGGCATTATCGAGATATTATCTCTATTAATCTCTTAGGTTTTCTCACGAAATTCGCTTTTCGAAAGAAAATTAATCGATGTCAATAATAATAATAATGATAATAATAATAATAATAATAATAATANAAAGGCCAATCGATGACCGAATACTCAAAGAAATGCTTTAAATAAACGAAGTTTACTTTGTCAATAATAATAATAATGATAATAATAATAATAATAATAATAATAATAATAATAATAATAATAATAATAATAATATTAATAATAATAATTAAAAACATTAATAAGTAAGTGACAAAATATTTTTCTATCAAATTTCTAGCCTTGAATAATCACGTACATCAATCGATGAACACTAAAGTGTGGTAATAATATGCTTATATAATCTAATAATAAGTAAAAAGAAACATGCATTTCTTAGCATGTTGCCCGCACACATTCATATCATTTATTATTATTATTATAATATTTATATATTTACAAAGTGAAATATTTTAATAATAAACGCACAGATTAAAATGATAAAGAGTTTTCTTTTGTTCTCTTTTCTAAGGTACTATGCCTTTTTTCTAAACAATTTCCATCATCGGATATTTTCTCTTTAATTTTTCCTTTTTTTTAATTAATTCATACATCCGTTCATCGTCCGTTCGCTCGTTCGTGCTTTCATTAATTCGTTCATTCAAAAATTCATTTAATTAAATCATACTTTTAATTAAAATCCTTTTTCGATTATTTTT